TGCACATGACAATGTAGGTGTCCTCAGCGCATTGCAAAGAGGGGGAATTATGGAGCTTTCCTAATGGATAATCTCTCGCTTATCAGATCCCTGGTTGAAAAGTTGTCGAATAATCTAACTGTTCCCGTTTCATGCAAAATCCGTATCTTCCCAAATATGCAAGACACGATCAATTATGCCAAGATGTTGGAGGAGGCGGGTTGTGCTCTCTTAGCAGTGCATGGACGAACAAGGGACGAAAAAGACGGGAAGAAATTCCGAGCAAAGTGGGATATTGTCAAGGCGGTTAAGGACTCGGTGAGAATTCCCGTGCTCGCTAATGGAAATATTCGGCACATGGATGACGTGCAAAGTTGCCTGGAAGAGACCGGCGCGCAAGGTGTGCTCTCAGCCGAGTCTCTTCTTGAGAACCCTGCCCTATTTGCTGGATATAGGAGCAACGGAAGTGAGGGAGGAGTTAAAGAAGATGCCAATGTAGACCAGGCTGAGCTAGTGGTGGAGTATTTGAAGCTTTGTGAGAAATACCCGGTGCCATGGAGAATGATCCGTTCCCACGTGCACAAGATCTTGGGAGAATGGTTCAGGCTCCAGCCAGACATTAGAGAGGATCTCAATAAACAATCCACACTCTCATTTTCGTTTCTTCACAACCTGGTGAATCAACTAAGGGAACGTGGTGTGAGGGTACCTTTATATGTCAAGGACCCTTGCAACGGAGCGTTGTCCCATAATGGAACGGTTGCGTGACTCTGTGTTTTCCCCCCTTCTCGATTACAGGAACAGACACTTACTAATTGTGTTGCAGAGAAAGGAAAGGTTTTAACACTCTCTCTTTCTAAACTTGGTTGTGCCATTGTTGCTGTAGTTGCAAGAGGTAAATAGGAATAGATTGAATTTGTTGGGAGTATTTATTATTTCAAAGAACCAAGAAGTTGATTAACCATGAAGTTGATCACTCCTCTCTTGAAAATCATGTCTTTCGTAGGGAAGAGAGTAGTTTTGACATTTCATAGTGTTTTGTAGCATTATATGTTGACATTATTGTTGTTATAGGTCTTATTTTGAAGATAAAAATATGAAAGTTCTTTTCTATCATTTCAAACATTTCTACTTATTTTATTAGTCTCTCTTTTAAAAATGTAAAATTACGTTGAAAATTCTAATCGACTAATCCTGCTTGTTTCATACGGTTCCATTCCACAAGCTCGAGATCGAATCTCTGAACTTTTTTTCTATTAAATCGTAATTTTAATTAAATTCTTCACAAAGTGAGTAACTGGTTTGAAAATATTATAGTATGGATTATGGAACTAATTCATATTTTGCATAAACAATAAAATACTTTTTAAAAATAAATTATACTCCGTAATATTCAACTAATAACAAATTTTCACCAATTAAATTTGAAAAACGAACAAGAAAAAATGACGTTGGTTATAATTTATTCATTATATATATAATTGCATTAGTGCAGTATTGAATACACACCATATAGAACCTATTTATTCATAATAAAAATACAAGTACTGCAATCTCCGATATAGATCAGTGGAAACAACATATTTGTAGATCAAATTGTAAAAGTGTTAAATAAATAGATATTTTTCGAAAAGTATAAAGAGTAGTGGAAAAGGAAAATATTTTTTTTGAAGTTTGAGTTTAGTGTTGAACATGAATTACTATTTGACTACTCCATTTTGGGTTGAATTTGATGTATGGCATTGAAGAAAGAAAACTAGACTACTTATACACCAAAAGTTGTACCTCAAATTGTAAACCACATGGGTATGAACCTTCAATTTGTGCCTGTGTGATGCCAGTGTTATGGTTCACCCAAACACAAAATACTACTCCCTCCGTCCCAAATTATATCGAATGTTTACTGTTCATAAAGTCAAACTTCAATCATTTTTTTCCTTTTTTTCGACATTCATTTTATAAAATGAAATAGTCATGTCACAACTAGTTTTGTAGATCTTTTGATGTAGTATTTTAATATGTAATTTATCTGTTAATTCTACACCTTTCTTCATATAAAATGATTTGAAAATATATTCAGTCAAACTTCGTAAATCAAAACAGACAATATAAATTAGACAAAGGGAGCAGTATAATTTTTTTTTAATCACACTAGTATAATATGTCAGTGTCAGCAATTAAAATGATAGTACATATTTTCGGTGTACACTTTGGGGTACACTCCTCGGGGTGGTGTTAACTGTTAAGTAGAGTTCATTGACGAAAATAGAGATGGATAGGAGTAAAGAGTTTGGGTTGAAGATAAATAGTAAGCCACAAATAAATGAGGCATGTTCAGTTCAGCTATAGCCCAGCAAACAGATGCCCCCCATGCATATGCATTTATACTTATTTATTTACTCCGTATATACGTTTAGGATTGTCAACAACTGTGCCGTGCGGTGCCGCCACTACACACGACTTTGTGGTTGGGCCATTCATAATTCCAAACTCACAAATTTGCCTCTGCTCCTTTAATTTGCCTTCATTCAATGAAGTTGTCATATGACCGGATAAAATGATTGTACCTTGTTATTAAAAATTATTAGGTACATTGAGTTTTAAATAAATGTAGACCTAAACATGTCTACATTCATTTAAAATTTTATGTATCTGAAAATCTAATAGACAGTTATTGTAAAATGGAAGGATTACTCTTTTTAGACTTCAGAATATGAATGTGGATTGATTGGTTTTCAAAAAGAATTACACTCAAAGGAACGAATGGCAATGAGCATGGAACAAAGTAGGCTAATGATCGAATACTAAGACACTTATCGTGCGAACATGGAACCGACCATGTCTTGGTCGATCTTAGCCGCACATGAGCTGCATCTTTGTACCTCAGCTCATGTAGCGACAACGTAGGGTTACGTTCGTACTCATCCTAAGATTCTTGTTCCAAGAGTGAGGCAACGAATCCACCGAGTGAGCGTGGTTACCGTAGTAGACAATGGGAAATGGCAAGTCGAGGGGATTGTACTAGGGGCAAAAATATTTATAGGGTATGGTAACAGCTCGACTTGTAAAGGGGCAAAAACCCATAGCTTGTCCATCGAGGGGCAAAATATTCATAGATGGATGGTAATGAACTTGTATGAGTATGGGTGTGAGCCAAAGCCAAATGGGCAATTTAGATTTAATTTGGTTCTCATTTCTGTAGAAAGGGAATAAATATATAGGATGGCCTAACTCTCGCTTGCCCCCTGCACCAGTCACCCTAGCCCCCAGCCCAACTCTCCCCCCCCCCTATTGATTTTACTAACGGAACATCGTATGTGCCCCGTATTATAATATGGCATTGGGATGTACTCTCTCCAGTTCTATAAATCTTTCATGTTTTGACTTTTTTGGTCAAATATTGACACTCTTTGACCACAAATTGTGAGATAAGTATATTTAATTATAATATAAATTGAACATAATTGGGTTCATATTAAGATATAGTTTTGATATATCAAATTTTTCATATCATTTATTGTTTAGATTATGTTTAATTTGTGGTAAAAAATATCACATTTTGACCCCAAAAAAAGTCAAAAAAGAAAATGTTTTAAAACCGGAGGGAGTACTATTGTACTAAATATTTTTTTGAATTCAATTTCATGTTTACCATTTTTCAGTTATGATTAATAAATTTTATAAATAGATTATTTTATAAAGTATCAAATCATAATTATGAACCAACTACGGACCCATTTTTCACTTGTAATCATCAAATTTTATAAATGTCTTTTATTTTTAAACCAATTTTATAAATGTCTTATATTTTCTTATTTATTCAACTCGCATTTATTTATTTTTTTCTCGAAAACAAAACGGAACTATTTATAACCAAAACCGTAACCGACAACCCCCACCCCTACCGGCTCCGGCTCCATCCAACTTGGACCGAAAACCGGCCAGGCCGAACCCTATCATGGGATGAATTTGAGATGATATAAGCTAACAAGTCACAAGCGTCAACCGGCCGTATAGAAATAACCCAAAGGTTGAAGTGAATCCCATCAAGCCTATGGGGATATGATTTATGAAATCTCTGGCTCTCCAAATTTTGACCTCTACTTTCTTCATTCTCACTAGGGACCAGGCTCAATTAGCACCAAATCTCCATTAAACTTTCCTAGTAAATGTAGAACATGACTTGAGATCTCTTGACTAACACTAGATTCAAAACATGGCCCAAGTACCATGGTCTCAGGGGAAAAAGACTATACTAGGTGCAAAACATGAAGAAATTATCAAAATAGAAATTCTGTGCTTTTTATTTCCTAAATAGGAGTACAATATCAATGATGTCAATATATAGTAGCAAAAAGTACAGTGAGATGTCACTATGCAATATCGTGATGTCACAGTACAAAACTCTTATTTTGCAATAAAAACATGGAACTCTTATTTTGAAAATAAATGTTACTCCGTATGTTTTACTCCTATTTAGAGTGATTTCTTATTATGTTTTTTTTGCGGTAGCATGTAATTATGTTTTTTATCTAATTGTTTCATTAACTAAATTTTACACCTACAACATACTTGGAGCACATAATAAAAAAAATAATACAACAAACCCAATATAATCCCAATGTTGATGGGTTTAAGGTCAAGATGTGCATAACCTTACCCTGTAAAAAACAGAGATGTCATTACTGTCAAAGCCTTGAAACACTATTACCCTTCCCAAAGCTTCATAGAAAGCAAGCTACAACTAAAGTTTAATGTGTCATTTTGATTTAGTCTATAATTTACCCGAAACTAAAACATTGTCAACAATTATCAAAAATGACTATAAGTTCCATTGACAATGGATGAAATTTTCTAAAAATCCCATTTTTTTGTTAAAATATAATTCTTTTTATGGAGAAAAAGAAATTAAAAAAGTCTTTTTGTTTGTAAGGATGAGTTTTTTAGGAACTGGTACTGATTGAACAACCACATTCAATTGCACATCAAATTCTTTGCCTAAATAAATGGTTACCTCTCCCATTGCTCCTCTGAAGAAGATATGAAAATGGCCAGCAATTTCTTCTCATCTACCACATTCAATTGCACATTAAATTCTGTGTGCATATAAATGGTTACCTCTCTCCCATTCCTCCTCTGAAGAAGACATGAAGATGGCAAGCAAATTCTTCTCATCTACCACATTTTCATCATGTCACCATCTACTTTTCATCTTCATCTCCCTTCTTCTCCTGCTTCACTGTGTCACTTCTTCTGCGGCGTCTCCTTCCTCGCAACACAAAACACAAACATCAAAAATCACTCTTGGGGGAGAAAACCTTCCTCCCCCTTCCCCTCCATCATCTACGTATAATGCTAAATGCGGCTGTCACTTACCGACTGTGGATCCAGTAATAGCACAGTCCATTGAAGTGATAACCAAATTCAAGAAGGTGATAACAAATGACCCGAATGGGGTGACTAAAACCTGGAGAGGAAATGAGCTGTGCGTAAACTCTGCAATGTACAGAGGGTTCCGTTGTTATGTGCCTAAAGGTGGCATGCGGCACAGAGTTGGTGGGATTAACTTCAACGGATTCAACCTGGATGGGAATCACATGTCGTTGAACGGATTCATTGATTCTTTCCAGGACCTGGCGGTCATACATATCAACTCCAATAATTTTACAGCGGGTCAATCTCCACTTGGGATTTCAGCTTCGAAACTCCCCACACTTTTTGAGCTTGACCTGAGCAACAACAAGCTTGCTGGAGAGTTCCCAACAGCCGTTCTTGAAGCTAACAACTTGACATTTTTGGATCTCAGGTTCAACATGTTGACAGGCCCAATACCTCCTAAAGTCTTCACATTAGACCTGGATGCTTTGTTTCTCAACAACAATGGCTTCACTGGTTCCATCCCACAAAATCTTGGGAGCACCCCTGCTTTCTTCCTCAGCTTAGCAAACAACAAACTCACTGGTCCAATCCCAAAGAGCATCGGCAGTGCTTCAAAAACTATGACTGAAGTGTTGTTCTTGAACAATAAGCTGTCAGGTTGTCTCCCTTACGAAATTGGGCTGCTGAAAAATGCAAGCATTTTCGATGCCAGCACTAACATGTTGACGGGACCCCTCCCACAATCCTTGGGGTGCCTTGGGAAAATGGAAATCCTCAACCTGAAAAACAATGAACTTTATGGGACTGTCCCAGAATCTCTCTGCAAGCTGAAATATCTTGAAGAGTTGAGCTTGAGTAACAACTACTTTACACAGATTGGACCAAATTGCAGGCAGTTGCTGGAGAAGAAGATTCTAGACATAGAGAACAACTGTGTTTTAGATCTCCCCAACCAGAGAAGTGCAACAGAGTGTAAGATGTTCTTTAAGCAACCCAGGAAATGCCCAGACCCCAGATCCATGTTGTACGCGCCATGTGAGATCAATGAAGTTCCCAAAATGGAAGAAGAGCTTTATCATCATCAGCAAAAGCTCAAGAGAAGATCCTCAAGAACTTATAAAACCCTGGATGCACACAGGCACCATTGATGAACCTGCAAGCTTATATGTCACAGCAATATCAGCAAGTGATTATCAATGTATGTTTGGTATTTATCTTCTTGCCTTGTCATCCTCATCAAGCCTGATAGACATAGGTAAGAACATCATTTCTAATTTAGTGTCTTCTTTGTGGTTGGTTGCTTATACACCATTTATTGACCTGCAAACATAGAAATCAATCCAAGACTGAGTCAAATGAACCTTCCAATTTGAGGAAGTTTAATTATCCACTTCTGGCCTAAAACTAACGAGGAAGCCAAAGTTAGATCCAAAACGCATTAAGAAATTTGAAGACCCAAACACAACAAAATGAATCACACGAACTGCCTAGGCAGTTAACATGAAATATAAACAACAACAATAATCATCATCATCACGATTCACAAATTATCATTCGATTACTATTCCATCACACACTAGGTTTTGAGTGGTGCTTGATAATGTTATGCTACACTTATTAAAATTTACGTGCACACATCTCCATTAGATGTAGTGATGTACAACAAATAAAATCACACCACAAAGTTGGTAGTGACTTTACTAACTAAATGCTTTCCATAAACAGCTCCTTCAAAGTTCTTCAGACCACCAGTCTTCTGTTTGCACACTTCGAGTGGCTCTATCAACGCATCGAAGTTGGGCTGTGTATGGAATGAAAATATACAAAATGTTATTCAATACTAGTTATGTCAAATTTTAAATGATGAAGCTATGTAGCTAACCTCATAGAAATAGGCCACAGAAACACGATATTTTGGAGCATTATTGATGACACGGTGCAAGGTTGATTCGTACAGACCGTTTGACAATATCTGCAGAGTTTCCATTACCTTGAAGGTCTTAACTACACAGGGAATTGAAATAAAATTGTAAAAGATGGTATATATTAAAAAAATACCTGTAGCATATCGCCAATATTGCAAACAAACGTGCCGGGGATGGGGGGTGCGGATATCCACTCACCAGATCGGTTTCTTACCTTCACATGGTCATCAGAATAAGATTGGGTATAAAAAAAATAAGCTATAAAATTACATTGGGATAATGTAGATGAACTGTGATATCTAGAAGGGGCCAATGGATGATCCCTAGTACCTATCTATCAGCAAATCATTTAGCATACCTAATGCAATTCTCACAGTTACAATGAATACCTGAAGGGCAGTGATATCTTCATCTTGATTAACTAGTGTTAATAGTCCTGTACGACAGAAAATGAGAACAGTTAAAAACCAATTTACAACGTAGTAAAAGCTTAAATAATACCTGAACTGGAGAGCAGAAACATTACCATAGTCTGTATGAGCCCCACTAGTTTTCCCGTGGACAGCAAAGCAATCATAGATGATAGAAGAGGATTACTTACTATAAGTAATGACATTCCCTTAAAAAAAATAATAAGGGAGCAGAACAGAAACGGAGCTATTACCATCCAATATCATTTTCTGGTAGATTTGAGTCACTTGAACAGGATCTGCCAGGGTAACCTATAATACGTAGCACCCAAAATGGATCACCAGCTTTTTCCCCTTCAATCTCATCAACTGATCCACCCAATGCAAGAGCAATTCCCCTTATTATCTTTCTTGATAGAGCTGCGCTACATCAAATACAACAAATATTTCTTGAGATAAAAATAACATTAACATTTATTAAATTGGATCTAACTCGAACTGAAAGGATCATGACCTCACACTTACGTTTTAGACTCAAATGTGAGGAAACATAACACATCCAACCCAAACTGGGTTGGACAAGCAAAATCGTATACATATGGACTAATCTGACCCTAAATGGGCTGCCAAACCATGGGGAACAAAACAAGCAAGCAAACCACAATCGGACCAAGCACTGATACTACATTAAAATGGATCTAACTTTCTGAAACAGAACTTCAAAAAGTCAGGTAAATATATGATGTAGGACACTTAAGAACAGGTGATACGTGCAAGGGATGTATACATTAGTACTGCTGCATGCATGACTCACCTACTTGAATGGTGAATGTGATAGTCCACAAGCGATGTAACAAGGGCCCACCAGCCAAACCTATATTTTGGGATAATTAGTTAAAGTATTTTCACCAAGGGTCATCCCTAAGTTCATATTTTTTACAATAGTCTTAGAAGTACTCACCGAGCATATCCAAGAACTTGTACCTTGATGCATGCTTTTTGCTGATGACATTATCCTGATGGGCGAATCATAGGGGGATTTAAATAAGAAGTTGGATGACACAGGCTTTGGAGTTGCATGGCTTGCATAAAATCAGCACTAAAACAAAGTACATGGAGTGCACGTTTAGAAACGGAAGGAGAAATGCTACTCTTGAGGTGAAAATTGGAGAAGATACTATACCACATGTGAAGAGATTTAAGTATCTTGGGTGTATCATTCAGGCCAATGGAGAAATAGAGGATGATGTAAACCACATGATTCGAGGTTTTTCAAAAGGGTGTAGTGCGTTGGGTTATATGCGACAAAAAGTACTTTTAAAACTCAATGGAATATTTTATCTTACCTTACTACGAATAGACCAGACATATACTATGGAACAAAATGTTGGGCAGCAACAAGTGAACATGAACACAAGGTTAGTGTGGCTGAAATGAATATGAATCGGTGGATGAGCAGTCATACGCAAATGGATAGAATAAGGAATGAAGATATGAGAGCAAAAATTAGAGTGACACAAATTGTTGAAAAGATAGTGGAAGCACATCTTAGGTGGTTTGAACATGTGGAGAAAAGACCTATAGAGCATCAAATCGAAAACAAACATGTGGCTAGAGGATGTGGTAGATCTAAGAAAACTTGGCACGAAGAAGTCAAGAGTGATCTACGCGTGAATGGTCTTGCCACAAATATGATGTTTGAGATATCTGACTAGGCACAATGGTGTCGTTTGATCCATGTAGCTGACCCACTTAGTGGAATAAGGCTTTGTTGTTGTTGTATTTTCATATATCATTCTACTCCCTTGGTGCCAAACTTTTACCGTCCCAACTCTCAAATGTAACATTTTGAGCATCAATATCAATAATTATCCATAAATAAATATAATAACTGCAGTATATTCTAAAAGTACACTTCAAAGGGAATATAATGATATTAATTCCATTTATAACATAATGTATCGTTAACGTAGATCATACTTTTTGGCAAATTTGACTACTAAATTCAAAATGGAACGAGTATTATGAAACATATGGTGTAATTAAGAAATAGGAAGATATAAGAAATCTTATATTTATTGTGTGTTTGGTTGGGAGGAAAATATTTTCCAAGAAAATTTTGATTCTATTTTCCTATGTTTGGTGACATTAGTGGAAGGAAAATATTTTTCAGGGAAAAATGTTTTCCTTCAATGGGGGAAAACAGTTTACGTTAAAAAAGCAAAGGAAAATTTTCATTCTCTTTCCGCTTCATCCCCCAACCTCTGTCCACCACAAATACCATATCTCACTTTTCAGGTTAAAATTTTAAATTTTTAAATTCTGAATTTTAAATTTTAAAATTTTAAAATTTTAAATTTTAAAATTTTAAAATTTAAAATTTTAAAATTTTAAATCTTAAATTTGAAACTTTAAATTTTGAAACGTTTCCGCAAAGAACATGAATAAAATTGTATATTCACACTTCCCTCTCTTCAATTAAGCTTCCTCCCTCCTCTCGTACTCCTTCCCAAACTCGTCGCTGAGTTTGAAACTGTAAACCCAAAACTCAAATGATCACTCCTCTCTCAATTGTTAGTCTTCCTGGTGGAACCTAAAATCAAAACCAATAAACTCTATGGATGAGTTTTATCGATTAGTCTCGAGAAATTGCAAAGAAAATAAATCTTAAAACTCATCCATGAAGGTTACTGATTTCGATTTTGGGTTCCACCAAGAAGACAAACAATTGAGAGAAGAGTGATGATTTTGGTTTTGGGCTCAAAACTCCAAACTCAGCGACAGGTTTGGGGAAGGAGTGTGAGGGGAGAGAGGAAGCTTAATTGAAGAGAGAAAAGAGTGTGAATTTACAATTTTATCCATGTTCTTAACGGAAATATTGACAAAGGACCATTCGTGGAACAGAATATAATAATTGGGGACTAAATTATTAATATTTGATATGTAGGGACTAAATATGTAAAACAGACTATAACTAGGGACCTTTTATGGAATTTACTCTATTAAATACAAAATACTCCCTCCGTCCCTGAGTATTTGTCCAGTATTCCTTTTTTGGTCGTCCCACAATATTTGTCCACTTTGCTTTTCAAGTAAAAAAATTTAAATGAAAGGTCTATTTTGCCCTCCTCCACCAACACGTTTGTACACCCTCTATTTTCTTTCTTAGCCATATACGGAATAGTCATACATTTACATCCACCCAAATCATCACCAATCTAGTGCATCTTATCCAGATCTAATCCTTCTCTGTTGAGCTACGCCACTTTGTCTTCTTCTCCTCCTCCTTCATCTGCTTCTGCAGATCTTCTTTGGTCTTCTTGCAACTATATCTTGGTGGCGGTGGGATTAGTTGTGCAATAGCGAACTGCGCGACTGAGGGCCAGTAGGATTTGTGATGTGCGGCCGCGACTGGGCCGAAAGAGAGGGCTTGTACAGTGGTTGTGTTGCAGCGGTTGGCTGGTAAATAGTTGGTGGAGTTTGAGATGGGTGTCTCGATCCAGTGGGGAGGGGGCCGTGTATCCACGGCTAGGCTCAGGGAGACGTGGTGGCAAATATGGCGGTGGCCATTATTATGGTCTGCACGGAGACCAGTTGGATTGAGTAGGATTGCAGGTGGTGAAGGAAACTCAAAACAAAGGGCATTTGTGGCTTTTTAGCCTATGCATTGGTTTTTGTGCCAAAAGTTAAGTGGACATAAATTCAGGGACGGAGGGAGTATTAAACTTTGAATTGTATATTTAATATTTTATAGTTTAAATTTTAAATTTAGAATTTAGATTTTAAATTTTAAATTTTAAACTTAAATTTTATTTTTAGTTTTTAGTTTTTAGTTTTTAAATTTAAATTTTAATTTTGAAATTTAGAAAAATGGAAGTGTTTTGAAGAAAAGGAAAAAGTGAAAGAGGAACTTTTTAAAAAACGGGTGGAGTAAAAATAGAAAAGATTTTTTTGAGAAAATATATCTCTTCCTACCAAACAATAGAACATATGATTGGAAAATAATTTTCCTTAGAAAACATTTTCCTTTAGAAAATATTCTTCATGGAAATATTTTACACCCAACCAAACACAACCTTAGTAAGTAAATTTAGTTCCCAAATTAATTCCAAATCCTCTTTTGGC